ATGTCCATTTATTTATTTATTTGTCAGGAGCCCATGGAATAAGCATGATAATGTACAGTCAGAAACTCTTAGGCTGATACGGGATCCCATTATGTCGCTAAACATGAGAAGTGACAGTGTCAGATGTGTGCAGGTATAATTAACCGGCGGTCCTCTTTTCCTGTATCATCTTTTGGTGTTCTGTGTTTCTCACTGTCTGTATGGCTTTCTCACTTTTCCACCACGGCTTGATCTGCAACGAGGAGACACAGTACTTCAGTTCAACTTACTGTATATGAAAGACTTTTTATTGTCAAAATATCTAAAATGGTAAAACAGTAGTATATAGGTGATGTTTTATCACTGATGCACTTCCAGTTTTACATATTTGTGAACATAAGTTAGTAACATCAAAAGCCTCTAAAAGGTGATAGAAGGTGACTATATAATGACACAATGCATGATGTAAATGCAGTCCTACAGTACACCATCAGTATGTTTGATATTTAGAACTGGATATGGATGCACCTGAGGTGGCAGAATCCTTCTCATTGGTCTAAACAGAAAGCCCAGAAACTGCCTTGGGTTTCCACTTTAAGGAGGTGCTTATGAGAGTCTCATCTTCCTCTGCTTCTCCTCTGTCCTGCAGCCAAAACATGTTATAACAAAAAAGGATTTGGTATCACGCAAAAATACTGTGCATCTTTTTATTAGGCTTATATAGGGTACAATAGAGCTAAAATGATTGTCCACAAACTGTATGATGACGATCAAAAAAATATTTTTTTTAATTGAAAAATGTATGTAAAAAAATTTTCAAATAATTTTGACTTGAATTACTCACTAGCTACAAAAATGTACATATTTCATTAATTTGCCCTGTTGTACCCTACTATTCATGGACACAGAATATGTTTTTAGTGTCTTGGTATGCTTTCATGTATTCAGGTTTATAATATTCTGTATTCATAGGCTTCATTTGCTTGTAACAGGTTTGAGATATAATTCATTTTGTTTTATCTACTTAGAGGTTGGCAGTGTTTACTAGCATACCAAGCTGTAACACTTCTGACACTCCAGTGAAGTGCTTCATCCACTAGATGCTCTAAGGGCATTCCACTACTGACTACAGTCTATCAAGGAAAGAACACTGCATAAGACTGTTGTCTTCATGAGCCTCTGTTGGCATGCAGCAGGCAACAGGCAAACTGCACTATTGAGAGGCAGAAGGTTGCCATAAAACCTCATCTACAAAAGCCGAAATGGCAATAGAGAGGATCTGGCCCTGATCACGATGAGGAGAACGCAACTTCACGGCCTTTTCTTTCTTACTGGTTGCTTCATCTAGTGCTGGCTGGAGTTTTAGTAAAGGAAGTTCATTTTAAACAAGAAAATTACCCTTTTGAAAAAGTAGCACACTTAGCATGCTTTTAAAAGGGGACTTAATACTGAAATAAGTGCGAACTGAATATTACAGTTAGGTCCATATATATTTGGACACAGGCACAATTTTT